AATCCTCTCACCCTCCCCATCTCTGGCCTGTACCCCAGTTCTGTATGAATAAATAAATAAATCTTTAAAAAAAAATATCATGGAGGAGTAGAAAGCCGACAGTCGGGCCCTTCCTGCTGGATCAGGAGGCTGTTTCAGGGACAGCCTTTCATCTTGTGGGCTGACAATGTTTGCAAATGTGCTTACTGAACGTTTGCTGTGATAGTAGTTGCTTGGAGTTGTTTTTGCTGCCTTGGTTTTTTAACTTGTTTAATTGTGTTAGAGCAAGAAAAGGTGTTTGATGACACAAGCAGATTGGGAATAGTGACAAAGTGATGCTAGTCATCTTCAGGGGTGCCATTTTCTGACACTGCTCAGTCCTTCCCTGCCGAATGTGCCCCCAAACCCAGGACTGGCATCTAAAACAAACACCTCTGGTCTAGCATTCATGCCTCCAGAACACAGAAGTGTTTTGTGAAGGGCCATCTATTTTCCCGCTAGACTAGCTTCATACTCATCGCACCTCTATTTCTGTTGGTTCTCACTTTTACCATTTCCTTTCTTTTCCGTGAGGAGGGAAAATGTAGCTGTGGGCAGCTGCCTCACACACTCCACAAATCTTGCAAAGCTATGGGAAAAGGCGAGGCCAGGGAGCTTCCACTCTTGCCTGGGTGACCCTCCTGGTGTCATTCACATGGAGAGCACATGGGTGCATGCATGATAAACAGACCTGGGCTCTTTGTGGCCAGTCACCCATGAAGAATGAGGAAAAGAAGGATGCTTACCGTGTAGAACCAGAACTTCACGATGGGAGCATTGTAGAATTCATAGATTTTTCGGCCCAGTGGGATTAACCGGTGCCTACTCTGAACTTCCTCTTCGTCCTTCTTCCTGGAGGATTCCCCACTGTTGCGCCCCAACATTGCCTACAGCAGAAGACAAATGACATCATCATGGGGGGTGCTCCAGAAGCTGTCTTTCATGTGCTCACTTTACAGATGCAAGCCTGCCCGCAGAATCTCAGAGCTTTGCCCATGGCCCCTGATACTTAGAGGCTGAGTCTTCCCTAAGTGAGTATTTGCATTATACTTAGAAACGAAGGGTTTTTACCTGGCATGCAAAGCCTTAGGGCTATTCTTGACTATTCTCTTCTGTGCCTTGGGCCCCATGGATAAAGGGCAGTACGTGGAGTTCTGAGATGGAAGAGTGTAGCTTGGGAAAATCAGGGATCTGTTTTTCCTCTGTATCCTTCTTTCCTCTCATATATATTGTGAGACAGGTAGGTCTGGGTTCAAATTCTTTCTCCACTCATGTTAATGACCTCTAAGTCAAAGGTAAATGAGTCAGTAATACCTAATTTTCCAAAAGGTTAGAGTTCAGGAGGTTAAGTGAGTGGACATTCTTGGAGCGCAGCTAGGTTAGGAGCATCTCTTTCACCCTTAGACATATTTGCTTTCTAGATTTCCAACCCTGATTTCTGTTGGTATTTGTTGCCTGGGGGCTCCTGGGTATACCCCTCCCTCTGTGAGGGAGAGTTGTACAGGTGGGACTTGGGAATTTAGGCCTGACCTGGAGAGGCCCTGATGTCCAAGCCATTGGAGATTACTTTAAGAATGCAATTATTTCCAGCAGCAGCAGCAACAGTAATTATTGAATGCTGAAAATGGGTAAATGACAGGAGGCTCTGAAGATGAAGATCTTTATGGTAAAGAGTTCTAGGCTATGGGTTACTCAGAAGGGGTTGGAGCAATAACATGGACACTTGGAATCTGTGGCAACTGAGGCAAGTCTTTTCAACTCTCTGGGAGTTGGTTTTATAAACTATGAAGTGGGGGTAGTAAAGCCCCTGCTATACAGTGGTTTACAGATTAATTGGCACCTGGCACTTAATAAGTGCTCAATAAATATTAAGTATTTTTTAAAGTGAACTGAGAATTTCTCAGATGTTGTTGACTGAGATTTAGGTGGACTCTCTCACCAGGGGCAAAGAGATGCTCTAAGCAGTATACTACAGCATAATTTCCTAGCTTTAGTTCTTCATTATTGTCCTAAGACAAGATTAGTTCTACAGTGTTTGGGAAGTGAGAATTTTTCAAATGTGAGAAAAGGGTGAAGCCTACTCAGAGACTGACAAGGCTCTAGGATGAGAGAAAGTACTAGAATGGAGTTTAAAGTTGAGAGACCTAATTATACAATAATTTAAAATTATTTTGAAGTTGGAAACAGATGACTCTGGCTGCAAACTACCTTACCTAAACATTCAGATATTAGCTTCAGCTATTTTTATCGTGCCTCGGATATCTACTTTACCTAAATATTGAACAATCACAAATGATTTACCTGTAACCACAGGATTTGTGGAGAGGATAATTGCTATTCCTTTATGGCTCCTCTAAATTCTACCAGAATAGGTAACATTCCTACTATAGCTTATCAAAGCATTTGTTTTGATCAGTGAGCTGAGTCAATCTTGTGATGAATATAATATGTGTCAGACAGTGACGAATTCTATAACTATAGATCACTGACCTTGAAGAACTCTGAGGTTATATGATATTTGCAACTCTGTAATTTATCATTTATGTAACATAATTATCCTACTTCTTCTGCTTGTTTATATGCTTAATAATACAGTGCCATTTGGGGACATAAGAAGGTGAGTTAAGGGTAGTTTAGAAGAAGGTTTTTGGCCTTGTGGAGAGTGGCATGGTGGGGTGACTTCTAGAAACAGTGGCTTCCAAAGAAACCTAAAAATGATACCTTGGGTCAGTGCCCAGGTTGGTGACTTGCTAGTCAAACACTTACCTGGCAATTCAGGTAAAACAGAAACACAACAACCTGCTTTGCCATTATTATTCAGAGGCATTCCAATGTTTATGCATTTTCAGAAGGCTTGTCTTTCATGGTTTAAGTAAAACTTTTTTTGACATTTCATTAAGTCAAGCCTCAGCAACTTAACTTGCTGATTTTGTTGATTTCCTTTTCCAGTAGTCAAACGTCTCCTTTGACTACATTCTTTAAAGCCAAATGTAACCGAGTCAAACACATAAAAGCACACAATATGAGTTTGAGACTTTGATGGCTGGCTGCAGATGCCAAATCTGAGAAAGACCCTTTGCAGTAACTAAGCTATTCAAGACTACTAACATGAAGCAAACTGAGGCTGCTATTTTGGAAGGACCAAGAGAAAACTTCCCATTAAGAGAAGATACGTTGGTTTAACACAAAAACTCACATTTCAGTCCTATGAAAGGCGCAAGGTGTCAATAAGCTGCACACCTCAGCCCGGAACAGGGGGCGCCAGGACCAGGGTACCAGGAGAAACAAGAACTTTCCTTATGGCCAAAGGGAGGTCTACCTTAAGGACAACTGCAGTCCAGCCTGGACTTTGCCAGCCCACAAGTCCCTCCTCTCCTTTTCTTCTCGGTGGTTTCTACCTGTGGGGAAGAAGCTCAGGCAATGATGCCTTAATGGGGTCTTTTCCTGGGAAACAGACTCTGTTCACAATCCAGAGAAGATTCTCTTATTGTGGCTTTTATGGGATTAGGGATTCAGAGCTCTAGACTGAGCAGCAAAGAGCTGCCTCTTTTGTTTTCTTCCTTGATGCCTAACCAGAAAAAATGCTGACTTTGTTTCTGGCTGCCTTGCTAGGACGTGAGCAACGACAAGACAGCCCAGGTGTGACAGAGGATCCGTGATTCACTTGGGATTCCTTCTTCTACAGGATGGGTCAGTCCAACTGAGTGCCTACATTTGAGAACAGGTAGGAAGAACGATTTTACACCTCTAGCTTATCAATGAAAAGTGTGACCATTCAATCTGTAAGCTTGGGTTCTCATCCCAACTTTGCAACTAATAAACTGGGTAACCTTGGGTAATTTGATCACTCTGAATCTGTTTCTTAGAATGTAAAATGGGATAATAAACGTGCCTGCCTTGTAGGATTGGGGATTCCATGAGTAAGAGTATGTCAAACCTTTAGTGCTGTTACAATATGTTAGCAAATATTTATCAAGAATCACTGTGGAACCCTCCCTGGTGGTGCAGTGGGTTGGAGCACAGCACTATAAAGCTAGCCGCAGTTTCTTAACATGAGTTCAATCCCCCGCCATGGGACCCACATGGCACAGCAGACCTCTCCTGTCTTTCCTGCTGCTCACCTCAGGAGTGTACTTCGTCAGTCTGCCTGTTCTCTTCCCCACTCTGTCTCTGGTGAAGCCTCTCGCCACCCCTGCACCTCTGGTCTAAACCCAGTTCTGTTCGCATAAAATAAATACATAAATCTTTAAAAGAAACAGAATGACTGTGGGCCAGACCCCAGTCTACATGGTTTACATGTATACTCGGCTCTTGCCAAAGTTGTTATCCCCATGCTTGAGGTTAAAGACCTCTGCCCATGGCCTTACATTGAGTAGCTGACAGGGTAGGACTCTGGCTCAGGGTGTCTAGTGCTTATTCCTCTGCTTAAGTTTTCAACAAAGATTCAGATTACTGTTGCCATGTTTATGCGAATGATCAAACTGTTATTTCCTAGCCTTGACGGGCTTCAGAGACCAAAACTATTATAAGATCTTTATGATAAGATGCCATCATCCTAGCAGACAGGCAGAGGGTTGCACCATTTTTTGTAAAGAATCTCAGAACCCAAAACAAAGGCTGACTTCTGGGTCAATCCTGGAGTTACTATTCAACTAGAGGGACACCCGGCACACATGCCAGCTCTGCTGGGACTGTGGTTGCACCTGAAAGCCGACCTTTAGGCAGGCCCTCCTGGGCACACCATCTCTCAGGCGGGGGAAGCATGCTTTGTGGGGGGTGGGGCAGGAGTGCAGTGATGCACAGGTGTTTTTTCACCTGAACAAAGCCAAGTTTTGTTTTCTCCCCTTCCAGCTTCTTCTGGCCACCCCAGTCATTGGTCAGGGTGATGCGGAGGGTGGGGGTTATCAAGGGAGCTTGATGTCTCCAAAGCTCTGAAGCCTTGTTTGTCCCTTTACCAGGCTGTGCTATTTTTAGACTTTGGGCGCAGTCCAGCGGCAGTCACGCTGCTCAGGCGGGGTTGTGGGAAGCGGTCCCATGCCCAGCTGCCCCACTCCCCTGCAGAACAAAGCATCCATGCTCTATAATTATACCAGGAAGAGCTAATAAAAGCCTTCCATACAAACCTCAAAATTCAATTAGTCCTACATTTGTGAGCCTGACCCCAAAGGCAGATAAAGACTTAGCTTTTGATCAGCAGAGCTGTTCCAGAAAAGCCAGCTGCTTCCAAATCATGGATCCCCTTTCCTTCTTTGCATGCTGAGGCTGCCTGGTTGTTTCGGGAGCATTACCTGTTTGGAAAATTTAGGATGCCTTGCTTTTGAATGTGGCCTGCACCATTGATGCTGGCTGAAGGATTCCGTGTGACATTAGATGGTATATTATTGTTATTTGTGCACAGAGCAGACATGTTTATAGTACCATGGCCTCAAAACGTGAATGAAAGCACCGGGTGGGAGGTTCATTCAAAAGTTGGAGGATCTCAAATTGTATCAACAGAACAAGTGGATTAGGGATCCTGCCTGTGGACAATAGCTGCCTTCCTTGTTCATTTTTTGCCCTTACGGTCAGTTCCATGTCCTCTTCATCTTTTTCCTTTGAGGGCTTCTCTGGTTCCTCTGGCTCCTTCTCTTGGAGATGGATTTCCTGGGCCTGAGACATATAGGGCATGTCGTCTTTGTTCTTGAACTCCAAGCTGAGAATTGAAGGAGGAAGTAGAATTCCCAGAATTACCTAAAGTAATAATAATGATAATAATAATAATCACATTTAAAGGATTAAGATCAGGGTGGTTGCTTAGAATCAGAGGGCTGGGGTGTCATATGTGTGAGGGTGCACATATATGTGCACCCAGGGGTGCTGGGTGGCTGTGGGGTTGGGCTGAGCTAACTGCCCTGACATGTTCATGCTAGGAGAGTTACTTCTGCCTATCAGAGACACTAATGCACAGTAGCTCAGTCTGATTTTGGAGGAACAGACTATCTTACCCAAGTAAAACCACTTTGCCTGGGAATTGAGGAAAGAAGAGATTCTACCCAAGGCAAAGGGGGAAAGTGTTTAGATTCCTGTTTAATCATTAGAGAGCACTTGACTGTGAAATCAATTCATATGTATGTCTGCTGGCATTTATTTGCTAATGTGTCAAATGGAGTTGATCATGTGTTCTCTCTAAAAAATACTGTCCTAAATTGACCTTGAGAAAGTCCTGTGAGAAAAAGCATGCTCTTCATTTGACACCCTCCCCTAGTATTTACACACACACACACACACACGCACGCACTCAGCTCATGCTCTGTATTGTCATAATACCCCTGCACAAATGCCCCCAAGTGTCCATCTTCGTCTTTCTCTCCTGTACAGATAATATGATTAACTTTCCAGGTGATGATGGCAGAAATGCACTACCCGACCTGTTCTCACAGGAGGCCAGTTTCTCTGCTGTGGCCAGGGAATGAGGGCATTTCTGAATGAGGGCATGGATACCTGACTTGTGGCCCCTAATCTTTCCACTTCCTCCTTTAATCCTACAACGGTTCTGTTGTATGAGGCTTCTGAATAGTATATTTTTGAAGAAACTGAACTGATGTGAGGGGCTGAGAGAGCTCCCAAAGTAAAAATAATGTCCAAATGATCCCCAAGTAAGGAGGTGGGAGTGGCCTGTGCTTTAACTCCCACAGGGCCTGAGAGCGGGTGAGGGAAAAGGAGGGTGAGTAGGGACCCTGACCCAGCATGTCTGGTAGGCCCAAGGCTCAGGTGTGGCCTGGCACCTTCAGGGGACCCTGTCCCGGGAGCTGCAGGAAGGCCAGGTGGTGACTAGCACTTCATTGGACCCTGCTGTGACTGGAGGCCAGAGCATCTGGGCAGAGTGGGGTGAGGGGCTGCTGGGTAGTGGTGGGGAGGGTGGAGGAGGGGCCCAGGGGCTCTGTGAATGCACTGGCTCTTCTGCTTGGGCTGGCCTCAGATTTACCCAGATCAGGTAGTATTAGGTAAATTTGAGCCTGGTTTCAGTTGTAACGGCCACACACTCCAAACAGAGTAAGCATTTGGAAACATTCTTCCAATCTTTCCACCCCATTTTTTCAGTCTTTCCCTTACTTTTTTCAATTTAGTATTTTCTTTGAATAGCACTGAAAAAAAAAATCCCCACAAAAATGCAAAAGTTACATTATCATCCTACTTCTTTAACCCCACAGTTAACCAGTGCAAATGATTTACCATGCATCCTTGCTGGCTTTTTGTTTTTAATTAATTTATGTATATATTTATATAACTATACATGCACTCACTCAACAAAGTGGGCTCATATTATGCATACTAACCTGCAACTTTTCATGCTTGACTTAAGAGTAGCTCAGGATTATTTAGCAATGTCTTTACATATGAATGCATCTCAATTTTTATTTCAGTTCTGAATATTTTCCCAAGTATTGTTGATAAGAGCTAATGTCTCATCAGGGCTGGGGACACAAGGCACAGGGCATTCAGGTTGGCACAGAGGTGAAAGGCTGCCTAGGTTAGTGGCTCCTGATGCAGAGTTAATGGTACTTGTGTGCCCATCACCTTTGGAGCTTCTGACAAAAATTCATGTTTACAAACCATTGCTAGTGGTTCTGGTTTTGCAGAATTGGGGGAGACCTTAGCTTCTATATGAAAAACATTTTGATATACAGAAGGTTGTGATACACAGTTGGGGTTGAGAACCACCCTCTGAGATATGGGAACCCCCTAGTCCACTGCATCTTTGGCTTGGAACATTCTAACCAACCCTCCCGTCCTCAGAGCCCACAGGCCCTGCGGGCGTGCTGACCTTGAGGCCTGAGTTCTTGCGCATCCGTAGCCGGCCCATCCACATGTCTGTGAGCAACATCTGGCTGCACGTGTGGGCAATGAAGTCACGGTGCTTGGCAGCCACAGCCAGCTGCAAGCATGTGGCATTGCTCCAGTTCTTCAGTTCATACGTCAGCAGTTTCATGGCCAGCTGCTCATCCTGCTTATAGGACTGGTCGAGGAGCTCTACAGCCAGTTGACCAAAGTCCCTGGAAGAGAGAATGTGAGAGAAAGTTCTTTTGGTTATCTTGGAATCTTTCAGGATGAAAGTGGGGACCCACCGGCTGAGCCACAAAAGCTAGTTGCCTTGTGGTCCAGTCGTTTCTTACGGGGTCTGGACTGTTCACTCATTCATCTGCACCTACTGTGTGCCCGATACCAAGTTTAGAACTATGGGGTAAGTCAAAGCATGAGCCAAGCACTCAAGGACCCCAGTTCAGAGTGTATGAATGGGGCACAATGACCAATAAATCACCCATTAGAGTGGAGTATGTCTTCTTGAAGGTGACAGAATCGAGTCTCGCTGACCACAAGAGTGTGATCTTGGACATGTAACTTCAGTTCTCTGAATCTCATGTTCTTTAGCTGTAATCGATGTATAAAACGAGGAGCTACCTCTTAGGAGAGTTGACAGGATGGAATGAAATCTAAGTGCCTGTGTCTCTGTATCAAACACTGTGCATCATAAACGTTAATTAACTGGGTCCCCACTCTGTGTACAGCATCCAGATGATACTGACTCCCCTTCGCGTTTTGGGCAGCTTAGGCTCTTCATACCTGTGTCCACCTTTCCTTCTTTCCTCCCAATCCCAATCCCAATCCCAATCCCACACCACCCAAGCCCACTTGCTGGGAAGGCCAACCTGGAGTTGTGGTTCAGCTCCTGGGAGATGTCGTCAACCATGTCGTTCTCAGAGGCTTCGTGAGCCATGGCCTTGCAGAGCTTACAGGCCACCAGGGCCTTGGCCATGGCCTCCTCCCCGTGCTGCCAGAAGAACAGGGCCATCTTTTGCCGCTTCATCAGGACGGCCCACACCATCAGCTCATGGAAAGGGAAAGGGAAGTGGTTGATCTCAGGGTCATCCAAGTCGATGTCTACCTCTTCTTCACGCTTCTTGGTTGTCTTTCTTCCTCGTCTCAAGGGTACATCATCCTGTAATTTTAGGGGAAAAACACAATTGCATTGAGTTGAATTGGTTTTGATCCACATATTAGTTATTTTCTATCTGCTACTGGCCCAGCTCTGGGGTAGATACAGAAATGAACCAGGCCAGCTGCTGTCTGAAAGAACTCACGAGCTCATAACACCTGCCTGGAAAGCAAGTTCTAGTGAGAGCGCAAGCACAGTGCTGTGAGGCACGGCAGGGCTGTACTCGGAACTTTGCAAAGCACTTTCTGCAATTCGTTCTGCCTGCTTGCTTCTGTGCAAGGGTTTTCTCCCCTTCCCTTCCAACAAAACTAACCTTTAGGATATTAAAAAAAGTACATTGTAATGGGTCGTCTTCTTTTTCTTTTCAGTTTTGTCCATTTTCTCCCTTTATGGGTAGGGCTATTTGTACTTCATGAACAACACTAGCCTTTCCACTGAAAGGACAGGCAGCCTAGGTTTTTATTTGCATACATGACAATGAGCACCTAAATAAAGGTGGGAAGCAGGTCACCTGTCTCGAGCCTCTGTTACCTTCATTAGATGCATCTGTGAAGTGGCTTTGGCTTTTGCATCTGTTACCTTTTGTAAACATTGGGAATAGATTTCACGTACTAGGATGTATAGGCTTCCTTGGTTTTCCAATAGTATTTCAAATAGAATTTATTTTCCTCTTTGCAATGCTAACATAACCTCATGGTGGATTTTTTTTTTTAAAGATTTATTTATTTGTGCATACAGAGCTGGGGTATGGGCCAGAGGTGCAGGGACGGTGAGAGGATTCACCATAGACAGAGTGGGGAGCAGAACAGGGCAACTGATGAAGTGCACTGCTGAGGGGAGCAAGAGAGATCTGCCGCGCCGTGTGGATCACCTCCGGGGTTGGGATCGAACTCGTGCTGAAGTGGCTTTAGCTTCTTAGTGCTGTGCTTTAACCCACTGAGCCACCAGGGAGGGCCTCAGGGTGGAATTTTTAAGGCTCTTGTGTTACTGACTTCTCCCTTGACACTGGGAAAATTTTCACCTCCTTGTTTTAGAGTCATGTACTTGCCCTTACAAGGAAATGAATTATGTGTGCATACACACACACTTTAAATTATATAATAAAGAGAACAAATAATTGCCACTAATAATTTGAACAAACGCTTACCTCCATTCCCAGCAGTTTCAAAGCTTTGGGCTGTTTAAAAAAAAAAAAAAGTTTTGCACCAAGTTAGATTTTTTTCTTTATAGGCTTAAGAAAAGAATCCTTCTATATCTTAAACAGGTAAGGGGACAACTCTTTTTATCACATACAGTGTTTGTTCAGATGACTAAATACAACATTACAACGGGAACCACTTTAGAAATTCTAAAAGAATTAGGCATTTAGTGATTTGGGGGAGTCACATAAAGTTAGGAATCTGGAGAGGTGTAATGAGATTATCTAAGAGCACAGTCTACAGCTCTATAATTCCTTTTAGAGCTATCCTGCTTGGTTGACATCTCTATGACATGAAACAACTGGGTGAGCAATGAAACAGTCAATCCATGAAATGATTTTCAAATCAATTATCCGGAGACTTGAAATATTACTTAGAGACATATATTTAGACTCTTGATGTGAGCCATCTCTCTGTGAACAGTGGCTGCCTCTGGGGATAGAGGCACGTATGCTGAAGGTGTTAAAGCAGCTCAGTGGCATACAATGCACACAGTAGCATCAGGTTATGTCGGGAACGTGCAAAAGAGCCACAGACCAAGATGAAGAGAGCAGTTAACTCAGCTAATTCCAGAACTTGATATATATTTAATTAGAGGAGATGCAAAATTTTATCTCAGAGGTCAGGAATACCAATTCTGTGTTTTAAGTATTACAGAATGGTTGTGGGCCATCTTGGAAGTTACCCAAGTAAGTAGTAAAATCACAGCATTCACGGTTCCTCCAAATTTTATTTCACCATTCAAGGGGAAGGAATTTGACATCTCTTTTCCTTATTTTCTCTTTGATGACCACCCATTTGAAATATGGCATGATTTTTTTTTTCATGCTTTTCTTTCTGGTGTTTTCACAGTTGTCTTCTGGAATCACAAACTACTTTGGAATCACAAAGTACTTTCATAATTAGAAAGCATGCATAGTTTAAATTAGAAGTCAAGTCCAGCAACACCAAAGGCAGCAATTTTCCAAAATGTGATAGACTGTGAAACTTTTCAGAGGGTCCTTTCTGAGACCCTTTCAACAAGGCTTATGAAGTCAAAGCTATTTTCATAATAACACTAAGATGTGATTTGGCTGTGACAATGTGTTAGTGTTTACACTGATGCTGTGAAAGCAGCGGTGAGTCAAGCTGGGTGTCGTGGCTAGAACGGGGGATTCATTCCAGACTTCACTAGTTGTCCTTAGAGACCACTATTAGGACCTTGAAGTTTAAAAAATAAAGCCACAGACCTAAACAGTGATTAACTTTATTAAATCTCTGCTCTTGATAGTCAAAATTGTCTTCATACTGCTCTGAAGGATAATATGGGAAGTATTTGTGACATGATGACTTGTGATAGGTTGTCTGGGAGAAAACACATTCTGATTGTTTGGCCTGAATTACGGCCACTTGGTGTCATGGACTAACTACATGAAAGAATGACTGACAGACAAACTAACTATGATTATTTAGACCTGGACATTTGGCAGATGTTTTTGGAAGTGAATGAAGTGGATTGGTTTTTCAAGGAAAATGACAGTATTTGTTGCTGATGGCAAAATTCAAGCTTTCCGAGCAAAAATTATAATTTTGGAATATGTGTATCCTTTCAAACCCCATGACCTTGAGACTTTTTCCAGAACTTAAAGAGTTTGTTGATGAAACTGGTGATGATTTAGATGAACATTAGTTTTGAAATATTGATTATCTATAATGACATGTGCCAACATTCAGAAGATCAAGGTATCAGTATTTTACAGTGACCAATTTATGATGTTATAAGAGTCATGTAAAGGACAAGATATATGAATGGGTCTTAACAGAAGATGAAAGTTTTCAGATTTCACATTGCAACTAATCTTTAAATTGCCACTTGTTGAATTTCCATGCAGTATCAAAAATGAATATAATTATTTGCAAAGATTATTAAAATATTCTTTCATTTTTGATTTATCTCTCACATATGTGCATTTTCTTCAGTTATTTCAACCAAAACAACACACTGAGTGCAATAGTATAGTAAAATAGTGAATGTAGAAGTCTATCAAAAAATATAGAACAATGATACGTTTATTATTAATGTTTTAGAATATACTTTTACAGGCATATATATGTATGTTAAAAATAACTTGCTTCCTAGGGTTATTTAAAATGAGTAAGTATTTTGAAAGTCTTAGTTTTAATTTCTTACATGATAAATACCGATAGATAAAATTTACACAGTGAAAGAGTTTTGGGGGTTCCTCAATAATTTTGAGAGGTATAAATAGATCCCACGAACAAAAGCCCTGAAAACTGCTAAGGTAGATAAATATTAATTTGAATATCATTACTATTCTCTCATCTTTCGGCACACTCCTAGTGTCAGCCTTTGATTGCATTTGGATTCTTTTCCAATTAACCAGGAAAAGAAAGACTCGCCTAACCCAACGTGTGCCTCGTTTTTTAAAGTGACTTGAGGATGGAGGGAAGAAGAGGAGGGACTGTTACTGCCTTCTCATGTAACCTCCATCTTGGCAGCAATGAAGGTACGCCCCAAATCTATGGCACCCCAGCCCTCCCTGGAGCCCAGGAACCGAGGTTTGCTGCAAGCCTCACCCTCTTGGGGCCAAAGAGGTTGTGGTAGAGAGTCCGGAAGCGCTTGCGCGTGTAGTTGCAGCGATAAGCGCCGCCCATCAGGTATTCGATCACCAGGCCGATGTCGATCAGGCTGATTCTGTAGTCCGGGGGCAGGTTCCCCTAGCAGGGAGGAAGGCGACAAACGAACACAAAAACCCAAAGACAAGGTGGTTTACTAGGGCTTCTATTCCATGTGTTCTGTAAGTATTTTAGCGTAAAAAGAAATAATTAAAAAAGAAACATGAATGTATTATTATGCTGGTTAATTCATTCACCTTAAAATAGATCCAACCGAAACCTGGATATTCTCGCTTGGAAAGAAGACATAAGTTAAATAAGAAGGTGCAGTAATCGTCGGCAATGACAGAAAATCAAAATATTTATTCAAGTCTTCAGCTGGGGAGAAAAAAACACCAGTGTAGCAGAAAGAAACACAAAGCTATAGGCATGGCAAACGCTGTCATTCGCGGTCGCTAGGAGCCGGGTCCCTGGAGCCCTCCCCTGCGTCTCTGCCTCGGCCTCTGTATTCCACTTTGTCCTTTATTTCTTCACACAACTAATGGAAGACTCCTTCCAGAAGACCGTTGTCATTACCGGGTGGGATATGCTCAGAGCTCAGATCTCCTTTAATACAAAACCTCAGTTAACTCCTTTTTAGAAACTGGTGCTTTTCATGGAAAGGAGACCAGCACCCAGGGAGGAGAAGCTGAAGCCACAAAGAGGTGGCTTAGGAAGGACCTTGCGTTTAAGAGCAGAGGGAGAGGAATCAGGGACTACATTTTGCCAATGGAATATTTATTTTCCTAGAATTGAGATTGCCCCCCACCCCCACACATTTTTTTTCAAGGAGAATAGCGCCTGTGAAGAAGAAAAGCCAAGCTTTGTCTTCTAAGAGCGGCCACAGATGGATGCACAGGCTTGTTACTCTCTGCTCATTGCTGGTTTCTCTTTCAAAAGCAGCTCCGTAGGGTGTAAGGAAAATCCTTGCACTCCACTTTTGGGGGGTTCTGAGCATGGGGTTGGGGGGGTGGGAGTCCACAGAGCCGGAGGGTCACCTCTCCCTGTCGGGTTCCCCAAAGCCCGGCAGCACTGGGCCATGTGTGACGCAGGCGCAGTGCAAGCAGCGCGTCACGCTGCGCCCTCAGCTGGGTTTTGGACAAGCCTGAAGGCTTTGTACTAACCGAGGACCCACCCGGTGGCTGTGTGAAGCATCTCCTGCTCTATAGAAGCGATACAAGGGCAAGTGGTATCCGAGTCCTCTGGGAACTGGGGGTGACTCAGAGGCCTGGACCTTGTCTTGCTACAGAGTATGTGCTTCTCTGCATTTTATTAGCTCTCTGGATGTTTCTGATACACACCCAAGTCTGTTGAATAAGGGGTCTACTAAATAAGGCTCAAGTGGGATTAATTACTCTGCAGATTCTGGGAAATTTTTAGGAGTATAAAGATAATCATTGCCATTAGGAAATCAGCTTGAGTTGTTTGGCTAAACTGTTTTCAGTTAGCTTTGCTGGGCTGTCCTGTGATCCACAGTCTCCCTTGAGGGGATTTATAGGGTTACTGCATCCTATCATCAAATTTAGAACTTTATATTTTTAATTTCTCTTTGCATTCTTACAATAACAGCCTCACCTAAATGCAGGGATGGGATGCAGTCCAAGGACACAGAAGAGCAGCCTTGTTAACACCCAAAATCATGGAGAAAAGCGGTAGCATGGGTAAGTTTTAAACAGAGTTTAACTTTACAGGAAGGGCCTGCTGACTGGTAGGTGTCTGGAGTATCTTTTCCCCCTCTCTAACGGGAATGAGAGAAATTAATTGATGTGGTTGGGACCACACCCAGAGTGGGTTGTTCAGTACTACAGTCTCAGTAACAGGGCCAGCTAGTCAGGCTGTGAGACCCCTGGCCATGACAGCCCCATCTCACTGCGGAAGCCTGACTTGAGGCGTGTGTATTTCTGTATCTGTACCAACAGGGATGGGAGGGAAGACAGCAGCGATGTTAGCGCAAGACTGCATCTGGCCCCAGACTTCCAGTCTCACCCACCAGGCTCTACCCTCCATGAGTTGGAGCGCAAGGCAGGCTTGGAGGTCTGCTTCCAGCCAGCCCCGCAATGTGAGGTTGTTTGAAGGGCACCCCATAGGAGGCAGAAGCACTTGGAGGCATAGAACCCTCTCCCGCGTTTGACTCTGGCCCATCGGGCCCCAGTCTGAGCTCCATTTCATTATCTGAATTGGCCTTTCACACAAAAGCTCTCTGCTCTTCTCTGTCTCTCTTACAATTTCCAAATCTTTAAGACTTATTTCACCCGATCTAACTGAATCGCTTAGTTAGGCTGTACTCTCAGACTACTAAGAAAGACCAGTTGTCTAACTTTATGCAAAAGATGGCAAAATAGGGAAAGGAAACTCAGAGGAAGTTTTAGGTTCATAAAGTTAAACTCTGTTTAAAACATACCCATGCAACCGCTTCTCTCCATTATTTTGGGGGCAGGTTAACAAGGCTGCTCTTCTGTGTCCTTGGACTGCACCCCATCCCTGCATTTAGGTGAGGCTGTTATTGAAAGAGCAGATATACCCCAAGATCTGGGCATACTTGGGTCCCTCATCTCATGCCTGTGGCTCCTCTAAGTTATTTTCTCTGTCCTCCTGTCAGCCACCTGCCCTCAAGCCCTCAGTTTTCTTTTCCTTTAAAGATTTATTTATTTATGCATACAAGAACTGGGGAACAAGCAAGAGGTATTGGGGGGGGGTGAAATGATTCAGAGACAGAGTGGGGAGCAGAATAGGCAGGTCTACTGAAACACACTGCTGAGGGAGCAGCGGATGAGACAGAGAGGGAGGGCCAGGGGTGGAACTTCACTGCAGCGGCTGCGGGTAGCTTCACAGTGCTGAGCTTTAACCTGCTGCACCACCTGGGAGGACCCACCCTCAAGTTTTCTTCTCAGTAAAAGGGGTAGAAATCCATGGCCTCTGTGGAAAAGCTCAAGTGCCAGCTTTCAGAAAAATCTCCAGAAGATTTATCATGGTGCTGGTGAAAGGCAATCTTTAAAACTGCAGTCTTTTAAAGATAGCAAATCTTTAAAATTGTGCCTATTTTTTAAATCTTGTAAGAATTTTCTAAATTTAAAATGTAGCGAATAGTGAACCTAACATATTTTCTGTTGAGAACCTATGTGAGAACATCAGTTTGAATGATAAGAAACCAACATTAACTGAGGACTAAAATTGAATGGCCTCATTAATGCTTCTGAGGTGTCTATAACAGAGGATCTTATCAGGAAAATGATGGTAGCAGTATAATTTAAAAAATAAGTAAAACTGGCCCTCCCTGGTGGCGCAGCGGGTTAAAGCACAGCACAGAGAGGCTAAAGCCACTTCCACATGAGTTCGATCCCCGCCTGCCCCGGAGGTGACCACATGGCGTGGCAGACCTCTCCTGACCCGCCTGCTGCTCCCCTCAGCAGTGTACTTCCCCGATCTGCCTGTTCTGCTCCCCACTCTGTCTCTGGTGAAGCCTCTCACCCTCAGCATCTCTGGCCTGTACCCCAGTTCTGTATGAATAAATAAATAAATCTTTAAAAAAATAAGTAAAACTTTAAGAGAGATAAATAAAATATTTCTTATAAATGACTAGTCACAGAGGAGGTGCTAGAATCTTTCTGTAACATTAAAAAAAACAAACAACAGGCCCACTTCTACATACCAGTGCCCAGAGACTTAATACCTCACCTAATTGCAGTTTCAGCCTTTCCTAAAAACGGAGTTCTAAACCAATCACTCTGAAGTTTCCTGATCAGCACTAAAATCCTGTCTCACTATAAAAACATTTATTTTGTACAATCTCATTGTACGTTCTACTTGCTAGATGGGATGCTGCCTGATTCCTGAGTCATTTCATAGACTTATTTTGGACGGATTTTGTTCTTTAGCACAAGAATCTTATCTAAACCTTGATTATTTGAGTGATTCTTAAATGATTTAAAAATAAGTGTGCCCTGACTATTCTGGATTCTACTCAAAGGAACTGGCCTATATTCTGTTTGGCCACAAGAGGGCGATATTTCACAACTAAAGCCAGTGAGGTTTCCTTCACTAATCTGGATTCTACTCAAAGGGACTGGCCTATATTCTGTTTGACCACAAGAGGGCGATGTTTCCCTAACTAAACCCCATTTAGGTGCCTCACTATTCTGGGTTCTACTCAAAGGGACTGGCCTGTATTCTGTTTGACCGCGAGAAGGCGATGTGCTCCTAAGGTTCACCTTCATCACCAGCATTTACCTATATGCGTACAATAAGGTGCCGTAAAGGGACACAGAGCAGAGTGGAAAATTTGAGGTTAAGAACAATCAGGTCTGGAGGAAGGAAAGCTTACTCTGTCAAGTAATATGTTTGAACTCTACCTGCAAGACTGATTGCACCTGTTTCTTTCCAGAGTCTTTTTGGGAGCAGAGATACTAAGGGAAATAAACTTTAAGCTTTATAATAGAAGAAATAGAAATCTTCTGGGGAAGAAGAAACAGGTTTTACAAAATGAATGAGATCAAGTACATAGGCTTCCTGCAATAGTCACCATGCCCCAGGTGAACTCTGATGGGGGTGGCAACCTTGGTGGGTGTCAAGCACTGCTGCTGTCTCGTGCATGCCTGGCTGATGACCTTGGCCACCTGTTGCCTGCAGATGTCACAAATGTACAGACAACAGCTGGCCCTGTGGCTCCACTTGGGAAACATCCCTGCCTGCACTGGGAGCCTGGTTCTGTCCAAGTGACCCAGCACAGGCCACTTCCTTTTCTGGATCCTAGTTTGCATTCTGAAAGCAGGCAGTTTGGAAGCAGTCGCGTCTAAGGTTTTGTCTTGGCTGTTTTTAAAGCTTCAGCTGAATGAGCACCTGGTATGTTGCTCTGCTGTCAAGTCACTGGGCAAAGACTCTTGTCCAGAGCTTGACATAGCTTCCAGTCATGCCTTGAGGTCTTGGTTGATGGGCTGGGTGCTTCGAGACACAGGGTGGCAAGGGGATATAGAGGGCCTGGGTTGTGCTCATCACATGTGTCTCCTCTGGGAAAAGCAGAGGTGATGGATGGCGCCTCACCAACAGGTAATGACCAAAAACCTTCTGGAGGAGTCTTCCTTTGCTTGGGGCCTTTTCAGTTAGGAAGTCAAAAGGTGGTTCTGGAGTAACAGTCATTCTGCCTGCTGGTTCTGTGAATCCTCCCCCCCACCCCCTGCTTTTTGTTAATTATTTTGGTCATCAGTAAGACCTTTCATAATTGGTTACTTATTTCCCATTTCATGGCTTAACAATGGATGGCAAGCCATGTGATTCAAATAAAGTGATCCACAGAATAAATAGAGAAGCTTGGGCCTTGGAGTAGGTACAGCTTGAAAACATGCTCAGCTTGTACTCTGAAGCTAAGTTTTAACCCATTCCAGGCCTAAGGATGTCTTTTCATTCAAAGAAGAGTTTAAATTCACTTATTAGATCTGCTCTTGTAAATCCCCCTCCCCCCCAACCCTGCCACCTCCATATCAGCTCATGATCAGATTTCAACTATTAGGAAACTTTTTTTTTTTTCTTGGAAGCTCATAACAGGCCCTCAGAACAAGATTGTTTCCGTCATGTATGGGCAACGTATAAAATGATGGCTGGTTGTCAGATTTCCCGGGGTGGGGGTGGGAGGGCGAAAGACACTCCCGATGGAAGTTCATGGAGAAAGGGAACATTCTCCCAATGTTGGGTATGGTAATAGAGCAGGCAATCCGTTCTTTAAAAAATAAGGATGTTTTGCAAATATGTATGACTTTAGTAGCTGGGATTATGAAAATATCCTTCTTTTTTCAGGTGTGTGTCCAAAATGCTATGTTTTTTCCTTCTGCAAATCTCTGGGCCTTGATTCCTACATAAATGATTTTCAAATTACAGTTTCACCAGTACTTCCATACAATACTCAAACATCACCCTCTTTGAGCAGGGAGGGGCAATATGGTATCAGCACACTAACTGTGGAAAGAACAGCTACTACTTGAAAACAAACAGGCACAGACTGAGCAGACAGTAGCTACTGAATGGCAGGTTAGGTTTCACGGAGAAGCAGACAGACTTGGGCCGCTCTGGGCTGAGACAAGAGCATTGATACAGCCGATGGATTTATGCTTGAAAGCAGTTCGGGGAATTGGGCTGGTTTATATCAATTTCAGCTTCTGGTTGATGCTCAATAATAACTTTTTACTTTAATTGCTCCTACATTGCCTTTGATATAAATAGAGATTTTGAAACCAACTTGGGAGCCATTCTCCACCTTCAGTTTGTGCGTTTCAAAGGAGAGTTGAACTTGGAGACGTCATGCCAGTAAATTTAGGATGGTCTATATCTCCTACATGCATTTCCTGGGACCATAAGTGTTATTTACATTTAATTTTACAGATGGATTATCAAATTCTATGATTAAGGTCCAGAACTGTGTTCCCACTCATGATTAGCATTTTGCATCAGGGCTTAGCACTTACTGATTAGTTTTTGTCACAGATTAAGTCAATTAATATGTACATGAAGTCCTGTAATTATAATACACAAAGCACATGCTAATTATTATGTTCCTTAAGCGTTAAAACGGTTTAAACTGCCCAAGATCTGGCCTTAGCACTTTACAGCTAGTTTTTGTAGTCTTTGCATATGATATTGGCCTAAATTGCTAGAAGTCTTCTGGAACCATCTGAAGAAGGTGTGTGCCAACATTTATTTCTCATTCGCTTCTCAAAATACACGAACAAAACCACTTATTTTCGGCTCCCTTTCACCATATACATAAAATTCAGACACTTCTGTTTCCTCCACTGCTGTTCTTTCTTGCTCCCAATTGTGAGACCCTCACCTTTATCGTAGACATAAATGCAATCTGTATTTCCTGATATTTCTTCCCCCTGGGAAGAAAGTAAACAGGTTTCCTGCTTCTCTTCACCTTATTGGCTAGTACAAAGTCAAATTATTCCTAAGCCAGTTAGTCATATTCTTGATGATTTTCTATCACTTTTCCCAATTACTAGTTTGGTATGGAGGTGAATAATTATTTAACTATATCCTTACTCCAGTATTGATCGTACTTAAAAGTACAACTACCTTCCATTTGTATTCTTCCCCATTTCATACTATCTACAGTCTCTTGGGGATGAGAGCTTTCTGGCTATTTTAGAAACATTCAAAAAACATTTTATTGCACACAGGAAACGAATATCTTGGTAAGGACTACACACTGGATAAATGTACCTTCCCCTGTTCACGTCCTAGGGCATTTAAGGCTGGGTCAATGAAACACAAGTGGAGACATGAGGGAAAGAAAAATGGGTGTGTTTATGCCGTGAAATTGGGTAGATGTAGGAAAGATATGATCTTGGTAAAGTGGTTGCTGAGCTGAGTGTTCAGATTACACACTAATTGTCCATGCTGTTTGATACCCTGTTTCAAGAGAACTGTGATTCCCACAGGAGAAAACCCCTTCATTAAGGTTATTGGCCAGGGGCGAGGGGAGGTTTCCCTGGGACTCCAGAAAATGGTTTTTGCTTTATCCTTTTGTTGTTACTGGCAAAGGTCCAGCTGGTTACTAGGTATATTTAAGCTGCCCCATGGCCTTTGCTTGGCCTTTTGAGGAAAGACCAAAATAGTGGCTACAGGATATATAAGGTCCATTCTAGCCAACCACTTCCCAAGAGGTGAAGAAGTTGTGCTCTATTATTTTTTTTATCTTGGTAGCTTAAGTATGTTCTGTGGACTTCGGTGAAGAATTGTAGTAAACTGGCAGGGTGTGTGTACGTGCATGTACGTGTGTGTGGTGGAGAAGGGCGACCTTCTACTTTATTCTTTGGAGTCAAATCAACACAGTATGGGGATGTTGTCAAGAGTTCACAGTGCCAGCTACGCTGAAAGGGATGGCGTGAAGCAAAGGGACAAGCACTCGACCAAGATTAAACAAAGCCGCCCGTGCCTTATTCTTCCCATCTATTTAATGGGAATCATACTATATAATAATAATACATAATAGTTCTACTTCATGGAATTCTTGTGAAACTGAGATAAGCTAAAATGCATAGAAGGCTTACCGTGGTGCTCTGCGTTACTTAGGTCATCACTAATGCTTATCTATTAATAGTTTATAATTAAGAATCAAAGGATATGAGCTCTAATCCTGGCCCTTCACTACTCATACACTTTGTTTATGTTCAGGCCTTGTATTTCAGCTTCTGTATCTCTAAAATGGGACTTTAGATAGGATTAGTCCCATTAATCCTACTTAATCCAAATCTACTGGCTTTCCCTCACCCCTTCCCCACACCATTAGGCGATCCATGCAAACAAATATACTGGGGAAACAAAATGCCAGCAGAATGGAGCACTCATATGCATTTCAGTCCCTGTCTCCACGGCTCGCTGAGCTGCGTTCCATGCGGGGCTGCGGATCGGCAGCTGTCCACAGTGGTGGCAGCTAGCAAAGGCAGGCGCCTCCTGTCGTGAGTCAGACAGCATGGAAAATAGCTCTCCAATCAGTGAGGGGCAAATGAAAAACTACAGGTGATGGCATAAATCCACAAGGCGAGGGGAAAAGCCTAGAGGTCCACTATCCAAAAGCATTATTTCCAACAAAGCGTCTAAAACCACAGAGACTGGAGATCAAACCGCAGCTGCGTCATAAGCAGAGATGTCAGAGTTAGACACACACGCTGTGCCCTGGGATGAGGGGTCTGGCAGGGACAGGGAGATTCCAGCAGCTCATGCAGAACAGAGGCACTTTCTAATCACAGGAAGCAGTCAAGACAGGGCCTCCGACCTGCAGTCGAGAGGGTTCTTACCTTTTTGACATCCCTGACCAAGTGGTACAATGTATTTGAGGGCCCATGTCTCTGAAAACAATAAAGAAGAATCAAATGGTTTTGCTAGTTAGGGGCTCTCATTGGCAAGGCAGGAAGGATCTGGAAGGAGGGGTCTGGCTGGTGGAGGGGCAGATTGTCAAGATGAACCTTGTTCTAGTTGCTCAGTTGTAACTGTCTTTTTGGAACAAACACGCTGGCAGATTTTTGGATTGTGGCTCCCCAAGAAAAAGGACTTGAGGCTCTAGGTTCAAATTTTACCAAGGGGAACATCAGCTCTTTTAACATCTGAGCCAAAACATTGCTTAGGGGACTAGTTTTGCAGCATGAAGGAGACAAAGTCACCAATTCCAGAACTGGAAGTGTGCTCTGGCACATCGCACTGACAATTTGTTTATCATCTGTAAAGAAGGCGAGATATGTACAGCTGGGATTGGCGAGCTTTAGCTGTGAGTGGCCGGATGGATGACACCACTTCAGACTTTGTGGGTTAGGCAGTCTTCATACAACTATGTTGACTCTGCCCTCGTGCCAAAGCAGCCAGGACCACAGGTCAGGAAATGAGCATGCGGTGTTTCAATAACGCCTTATTTATGGGCTTGGAAAAAGAGTCAAATTTCTCTGATGTTAATAGGTCACCAAAATATCATTCCTCTTTGATTTTCTTTCAACCACTGTAAAAAAAAAGGCCAAAAACCCCACTCAGAGCTTGCAAATAATACAAAAAAAAAAAAAAAAAAAAAAAAAAAAAAAAAAAAAAACAAGCTGCTTGCTGGATGTGACTTTGGGTGGTAGTTTGCTAAAACATGATGTAGAGAAAAAGCCATGGACTTGGGAGAAAAGAGGTGTGGAGAAAGACATATGCTTATTTAAGGCTAGAAGCAAGTAAAATGGCTTGCATCCTGTTGTCTTTCAGGAATAGGAATACTAGAGAAAACACAGAATGCCCACTTAAATTTGAATTCCAGACAGACAATGCATGATTTGTAATGTAAGTGTGTCCCATGAAATATTTTGGACGTACTTATAATGAAAAAAAAAAAGTTATATCTGAAGGTCAAATTGAACTGGGTATTATTAATTTTTATTTGCTACATCTGGTAACCCTGCTGGAGAATCTCAAGCAGTGATGGCAAATCCTTCCCCACTATCCCCAACACACAAGTATGGAGAAAACCCTTGCAACTTGCCATTCATAGGGACATAGTCATTAGAATGTTTTTCACTGAGGAATGTCATGTTGTGCAGGGATTAGAAACATGGACTCTAGCTCAGGCTGCCTGGTTCCAAGCCTGCTGACCACAGGCAAGTTACTTAACAATGGCTCAGTCTTATCACCTCTAAAATGGGAATAAGGAAGCCATTTACCTGACAAGGTTGTTTTGAGGGTTTAATGATAAAATGTTTATAAAACTATTAAAATAATGCTTCACAGACAACAAAAACTACTACTATAACTAGGTCATGTATCATCACACAATTCTCTATAGAGCATTTTGGGAGACCACCACTAGTTAACTGGACTGATGAAATCTATTGGCCTTTCTCGATCTAGAACTTTGCTAATTTTTTACTTTCTTTTCAGTCATTGGAACAAATCGCTCTACAGCCTTGGTTCACTAATGGTTACATAAATCATTCAATTCTATTTTATTGAAACCCCCCTTAATCTTTCTCCAGCTTTATTGAGATAATTAACAGATAACATTGTTATCTGTTAACAATTGTTACATAACATTGTAAATGTACAATGTGATAATTTGATATATGTGTATCTTGCAAAATGTTTATTACCGATAAAGTTAATGAACATATCCTTGACCTCACATAATTACCAATTTGCTGCTCTTCTTACGGTGAGAACATCAGTGCTCATGCTCATAGCAGCTCTTAAGTATATAACACATATTATCAACCAGAGTCACTGTGCTATATTAGGTCACTGGAACCTATTCATCTTAAAACTGGAAATTTGTACTCCCTGACTGACAGCTCCCAGTTTCTCCCACCCCTCAGTTCTTGCCAGCCACCATTCTACTTTTGTTTCTATGAGTTTCATGTTTTTAGATTTCACATGAGATCATACAGTATTTGTTTTCTCTGTGTGACTTCTTTCACTTAGCATAATGCTGTCAAAGTCTATTCCTGTTGTAGCAAATGTTGATTGAATAATATTCTGGTACGTGTGTGTGTGTGTACATATATGTGTGTGTGTGTGTATATATGAATATGTGTTACATTTTCTTTATCTATTCATCCATGGAAACAGGTTATTTCTTGGTCTTGGCTATTTTGTATACTCCTGCTAGCTCACTGTGGTTTTGATTTCCTTTTCCCTGATGATTAATGACACTGGACATCTTTTCATGCACTTGTTGGCCATTTGTATCTATCCAAGTCTTCTTCATGCTTTAATCAGGTTTTTGCCTTTGCCTTTGAGTTGTTTGAGTTCCTTCTATATTTTGGATATTAACTTGTCATCAGCTATATGGTTTGCAAATGTTTTCTCCAATTATGTAGGTTGCCTGGTAATGGTAATTTTGTTGTTTCTTCTGCTAAACTAAACGCGGAAACTTTTTGGTTTGATGTAATCCCACTTGCTTACTTTGCTTTGTGCATGTACTTTTTAGTGTCAAACCCAAAAAATGATTGTCAAAATTAATGTCATGTGGACCTTTCCTTTTATGGCTTCTAATCTTTGGCTTCTGTACTTAAGTCTTTAATCTTTATATGTTAATTTTAATGAATGGTTGTCAGAGAGGAAGCTAATCTCTTTTGAATGTGAATATCCATTTTTTTAAATAAAATTCATTGAGGAGAACATCTTTAGTAAGAGTCAAGACTCTTACTAAATGATAAAAATTACTAATGAGTCTCTTACTAAAAGACTCTTGACTCTTACTAAATGATTGTTGAGTGTGTGTTTTCTTCTGGGCTGTCAGTTTTGTTTCATTGGTTTATATATCTTTTTATGCCAGTTTTGATTGTTATAGTTTTGTAACATAGTTTGGAATCAGGAAGTGTGATGCTTCCAACTTTGTTCTTTCTCAAGATTGCTTGGTTATTGGATTTTTTTTTGTGATTCCTTGAGTATTTTAGAATAGTTTTGTCTATTTTGCCATAGGAATTTTGATAAGGATTGAATTGAATCTATAGTTGGCCTTGGGATATTTAAACAGTATCAACTCTTCCTATTATTGACTATAGGAAATCTTTCAACTTATTTGTGTCTTCATCAACTTATTCCATCCATGCCTTATAGTTTTTGGTATATGGATCTTTCACTTTCTTGATTAAATTTATTCCTTAGTATTTTATTCTTCTTGAAGCTATTGTAAATAATGTTATCTTTATTTCTTTTTCATTGTTACTTTTTAATGTGATAGTTTATTGTTAGTGTATAGAAATGCAATTAATTTTTCTATGTTACTTTTGTGTCCTGTAACTTTACTGAATTTGTTTATTAGTTCTAATAGTTTTTTTTTTTTTTTTTTTTTTTTTTGCTGGAGCTTTTAGAATTTTCTATAGATGAGATCATATCATCAGCAAACAATCTTATTTTGTATTTTCTGATTTGAATACCTGTTATTTCTTTTCTTATGCAATTGCATTGCCAAAGAATCCCAGCACTGTGTAGCTAGGAGTGGTAAGAACAGGCAGGTTTGTCTTGTTACTGTTTTAAGAAGGAATTTTTTTTTTGAATCTCTACTGATGAAAATACATTTGCTGTGAATTTCTCATTTGTGACCTTTACTATATTGAAGTATAGTCCTTTTATACCCAATTTGTTGAGATTTTTAATGTGAAAAGATCTTGAATTGTGGAAGGAGACACTTGAAACAGACATGGGGAGGCTAACAATGGTGGCCTTGGTCTTTTTTTTTTTTTTTTAAGATTTATTTGATCTTGAATTGTGCTATTTTTTTTAAGTTCTATTGACATTATCAATGATTTTTATCTTTCACTCTGTGAATGTGGCACATCATGTTTATTAACTAGCTTGTGTTGAGCCCATTGATCCATTAATCTCAATCATAGCTTATGAGTATTTTAATGTACTATTGAATTTGGTTGGCTAGTATTTTGCTGAGAATTTTTACATCCATATTCATCAGAGCTATCAGCCTGTAATTTTCCTTTCTTGCAGTGTTTTTAGTGGCTTTGGTTTAGGGTAATGCTGGACTCCTAAAATAAGTTCAGGAATAGTCTCTATTTTTCAACTCTTAAGAGTTGAAAAATTGTTCCTTTGTCCTTTCTGTTCGGTGCTTTTCCTTTGAGAATTGATGGTTTTCCCTGGTGGTGTATTTTATCTTGTTTGTCTCTACCATAAATTTTGTTTTATGGTCACTCTGAGGCTGATTTGAAATAGCATATAGATGCAACAGTTTATTTTAGATTAACTTAGTTTTGCATATAAGAACTCTACCATTTTACTACTCCGCTCATCTTGTTTTTCATGTCAAAATTTATACTTTTTATGTTGTGTATTCATTAACAAATTACCATAGCTATACTTTTTTTTTTTTTTAAAGATTTATTTATTTGTGCACACAGAACTGGGGTACAGGCCAGAGGCTCAGGGGCAGCTAGAGGCTTCACCAGAGACAGAGTGGGAAGCAGAATAGGCAGATCAATGAAGTACTCTGCTGAGGGGAGCAGCGGGCAGGTCAGGAGAGGTCTGCCACACCATGTGGTCACCCCTGGGCAGGCGGGAATCGAACTCATGCTGCAGGGGCTTTAGCTTCTTAATGCTGTGCTTTAACCCGCTGTGTCACCAGGGAGGGCCACCATAGCTATACTTTTTAAAAAAGTACTTTTGACCCACAGCTTTTATGCTAGATTTAGACTTACATAGTTAATAGACCACCATACTGCAATGTTAGACTAACTGGAATCTGACTCCATTCTTAGCTTTAAGAGTGTGCTGCATATTTTCATGTTACTAATTATTGTCTTTTCATTTCAGTTTGAAAAACTTTCAACATTTCTCACAGGGTAGTTTAGAGGTGATGAACTCCCTCAGATTTTGTTCATTTGGGAAATCTTTATTTCACCTTCCTTTCTAACATACAGCCTTGCTGGGCAAAATTCCTGGCATTTTTTTCTCTTAGCACTTCAAATATATATCATCTTACACTTTTCTGTTTTAGAAACTTTCTGCTAGGAAATGAGAATAAATCTTTTTTTCTCTTATTACTTTAAAAATTCTTTTAGATTTTAGGCAGATTTTATGAAAATTTACCTTGTAGAAAATGAATGGAATTGAAATTTTGGGTTGACATAGCTTTATGAACTTGCCTAGATTTGGGAAGTTCTCTGCCATCATTTTAAAACAAACATTCTTCCTCTTTCTCTTTCTGGGACTTCAATGAGGCACATATATTTTTCTCTTAATGTTGTCACATAAATTCCACAAGCATCTTCACTCCATTATTATTTTTCCTTCTCAGAATAAATAATTTCAACTGATCTGTGTTCGAGCTTATGGATTCTTTGACTTGAAACCTCTCCTTAAATTTTTCAGTTTAGTCATGGCATTTTTAGCTTCAAAAAAAAATTTTTTTTTTCATTGGACTTCTCATTTTGTTCTTGTACTGTTTTCCAGATCTCATTAAACTGTGTATCTATTTTCTTAGGTAGATTTTTGAGCATCTACAGAATAATTCTTTGTAGGGCAGCTCTTGTATCTCCATGTCTTTGGTGTTAGTTGCTGCAGGCTACTGTGTTCCTTTGTTGCTGGCATTTCCCTGAGTCTTCATGGCCCTTATAGCTTTCATGAGTGCCTGCACATTTGAAAGCACAGTCAGTCATCTCTTCCAGACTTGGTGGAACAACTTCGCTAAGTTCCTCTCTGCAGAGAGGGTGTGCTGAGGCCCAGTGCTAGAGGTTTAGGGTGTCAAGTGGGTGTGTGTCACCCTGAGTCTGCCAGGGCATAATGTTTTGTCAGCTCATGCCACTGGGATCCCCCATGTCAACAAATACTCAGTCATTTGCAACTGCTCCAGGAGGTCTGCAGTGGCTGCATGGGCTACTGGTGTCCTCAGGAGAACCTTCAGGTGCAGTTAAAGAGCAGGGCAGGCAGCACTAGTGACTGGAACAGGTGGTGGACACACATACTGCGAAGCCAATGGCAGATACCCATGTCAGTTCTGGGGCTTGTTTCACACGCCACAATGATGGGGACCACAGGCCGGACACTGGCAGCTGCAGGGTTCCTTGTTGTTAGTGTGCGTTCCTGTGGCATTGGGGTGTCACCATGCATGTGTACATAGCTGTGGAGGTCAGTGATGTCAGTCAGGCTAGTAGGGTGCAGGCAAGCAAGCCTCCAGTGCCAGCCAGGGGCAGGAGACAAGCCTCGAGCTGAACTCACAGCAGCCTGGGGTGTCTTGACTGCTGACTGTACGCCTGTGGCTGCAGGCTGTGGGCAGATATCACTGAACCCCTGAAGGGCCAGAGTGTGTGGGGAGTTGGGCAACATGCTGCTGCCCATCTGGGGCCTCTAGATGCAGGTGAGCTCTTCTGTGCAGGCGACTGACAGCAGAAAGGACTAGCGCAGCATTTATCACAGGTGTGTGCAATGGTGGTGATGGGTATCAGGCAGCAGCCCATGCAGGTGCAGAGCGGCAGGTACGAGCCTTGGGTGCGTGCGCACGTGGAGGTGGGGGCAAGCCTGGGGCTCTAGGCTGACAGTTGCTCTTGGAGCAGAGGCCTGAGCTGGCTGCCTGGTGCTTCCAGGCTGTAGCAGGGCTAAGGGAGAGGGAGCAGAGGCTGCGTGGGTCCCAGACTCCGCCAGTGCCACAGGAGAGCAGGTAGGCATTCAGGTGGCTGGCATCTCCCAAGGCGAATACCTGGAGGGTAAAACTGGTGAAACCTGTAAGACGACCTGTGATGCCGGACTGGCTGTTGGTCGTTATTGGTGAAATCTGTGGTCCTCTGCTGAGCTGGTCCCTGCAAACTGCTGCCATCTGCGCCTTATGGTTCTTCGCTGTTCCCACTTGTCCCCATGCGCCTCTGCTTTGCCGTTTGTGGGTGGGGTGGACTGGAAGCACAGGCTCTGCGCGGGTTTCCAAAGCGGGCGCTGCTCTCCCTCTCGGGACAGGGGAACTCTTTACTGGGGACTTGCCTCTCCCTGCACTGGCTGTGCCAGAGTGTGCGGTGATGTAAACAAAATAAAGCCGTTGCTGTTCTCTTTTTTTGTGTGGTCCTTCTCAGACTTTTTATTCTCCCATGTTGCTGAAGTTTCTTAAACAGTTAATGGGTCCTGAGCCCTCCCAGCCCTGGGAGGCAGGAGATGGAGTAGGGATGTTCACTCCATCTTCCAGGTGATTCGTCCTATAGAAAATCAGTAAAGCTAAAAGAGAAAAATCTGCAGCAAAACAAACCCAGAGCTATGCTGCGCACCGGTTTTCTACTTCCGCAAGCGGCAATGAAACAGATCTGGGTCGCACCTGGCCCCGCCACGGCCGGGCACTGGCCCCAAGCGCCGGTCCCGTGGGGGCGTGCTGAGGCAACGCGCATGCGCAAACACGGGCACGTCAGCCCTGACCCAGCTTCAGCGCAATGCTGACTTCTTTACCAAGGGATTTCATGACCTTGTGCAAATCTGTTAGTGTCCTCATCTGTTAAACAGGTGGAAAACATTATCTACTCTTTTAAACTTCGTTTGAGTCAAGTATCCAATATCAGCATAGAACCTTCTTAACTCACTGAATATTCTCAGAAGCTTCATAGTCACTTTCCTTACTGGCTACACCTTGGTATTCCTGGTGAATAAGTTAAAAGGTCACTTTATATATACATACATATATATATATATATAAAGTCTTTGGGGTGGGGGCGGGGGTAAGTCCAAACAACAGGTGTTTTACATTTTATGCCTCCAGCACCTTCTGGGCTTCCAGAATGAATTGTGTTTTAATTTCTAGAACCTTGTCATGATGTGTAACAATCTGAGAACATTACCTTTTGGTGATCACACACATAGCATTCTGCCTTAGATGCTGACAACTGAGCAGTTAAAACAGGTGGAATCCTGGAGACTTGGTGTTTGTTGTCTACACAGGGCATAGGGAGCATTTGTGGAAAATGATCCATGCATTTGGAGAGGGGAGGAGACTCACAGGCATGTGGGAGTAGGAAAAGGTAAAACAAAAAATGTAGAGAAAAGAAAAAGTGCCTTAGCTTGGTCCTACCGTATTGTACAATTCCTCTAGTCTGGAGATGGTGAGAAAACGGTGCATGCTTACTCCATTCTCTATGAGTAATTTCACAAAATCCACTCTGTCCAGAACTAGGGCATCCAACATGGCTTGTTCCAGAGAACCCACCTGCAAATCAAGTCACTGAGTTAGTCTGCCCGGATTTAGGGGTGCAGTCTTTTGGTGTTCACCTTAGGAGCTTCGAAATGGACACTGCTCGCACCTGGCACCCATCAGCACACCCATGATGTGCTAGTCAGACTACTCTCAGCTCCACTGCAGGGACAACCACACCCTCTCCTGTGTTCTGAGGTCTGTTTTTGCAAATGGAATGTAAGAGTTTCTTGTTCCAAAAGCTCTTTCGTCCTTAACTTTTTATTTTTGTTCTGGATCCTAGGAGGTCCAAGTGTTTATAAGATTTTCCCTCTCCCAACAATCTGATCAAACTTCTGCAACACCAGAATATGGGTTTTTTTGTTTGTTCATTTTCACTTTCTTCTTCTTTGAACTCTGAATTAGATCTCTGGCTGACTTACGAGAGACTCAACTGAACAGACCAGAGCACCTAAAGAGATGCTAGGTTTCTATGTGGAAGTGGTTTGGGTACTATCCGTTAACTAAGTAAAGAACAGCTTACTCTCTGGATGTGTCACTTGCTAGGATTTTTATTTAATTCCTTCCACAAAAAATTCCCAGCATCCAAACTCTTTGATAAATCTTTCCACAGTCAGTCCATTGGCACTGATTGAAGACAGAGGTTTCATCCTAGGCAGAAGCTCTCTGGGGGAAAGGGGTAGGAAGGGATCTCATGTGTGGGTGTGGTCCCTCAGTGGTTCCAGACACAGAAAATCAAACTCCAGGCTGAGGCTGCCTTCTGGGGATACATACATACACAACCCAGTGGCCAAATTTGCAATGCTAGTTTTTATTTTTGGTGGTGTCAATTGAGGAAACAAACCAAGAACAGTTATATAAAGTATTGGTTCTCTGTGCTGTTCTTGGGAATAGGGAGGACCTGTGTTCAGCCACCCGGACCAGATGGCAACCGCCTGCGGAAGTTCACTGCACGCTGAGGCGCCGCCCAGCGACACACCAGCCTGGTGGCAGCACTTAGAATCAGCAACCTCTTTTATTTATTTTTTTGCCCTCCTAAAGACAAACAGAAAAAAAGACTAATTCTACTCTTTATTTAATTTCAATTGCTACCATGTTTATCTAATATTTTTCCAGAACTTACAAAAGGAACGGTATCTGAAAGTAGCCGTGAAAAAGCCACTCTTGTAGAGATGGAAACGTTTGGAACATTTGGAGTTGTGCTTTGTCATGTCTTCCACCAGGTGACAGTGTTTTCCCAAATAGCAAAAAGGAGCTGAGAATAAGGATTGCTAGAAAGGAACGTTTCCATCCTAAAGAGAAGGCAGCGGCTTCCTGGGCCGCTTTCAGAGACTCCTTAAGCCAATACCTTGCCCAAGCAAGAGGGCTTTTCAGGGGGGATGAAATATACTCTACCGGCCATTGTTGCCCATAAATAAAGATCTGGCTGCGAGCGATGTCGACTCTGTTCCAGGCTAACGCTAAGCTCAGTTGGTCTGGGGCCGAAGCATTGGCTCCTGTGTGTAGACAAGGAGGAGATAAGAGCAGGAGAGAGAAAACAATGATCAGTTATTGCACGATGACGATCCACCCCACTTCTCTGCCATCCATCCCCCTCTTCCTGGAGAGTAGACCCAGCTGCCTAGCTGGGCTTCCCAAACTCAGCACTGTCGACCTTTTGCAGGATAATCCTTCACTTATGGGCACAACCCTGAACAGTGTAGAATATTTAGCTGCACCCCGATAGATACAGGTGGTACCGACCTCCCCAAGTCATGAAAGTCAAAAAATATCTCTAGATATTGTCCATTGAGGGGGAGGTTTGGAAGCTGAGGGTGGAGAGGGAGTCAAAGTTGGTCCAGTGGAATGGGCTCTGCCCCAGTGCTGCTGGGTCCAGTGTGGCCGGTGACTGGCAGCATGACTTGGGCATTCATGAAAATGTGGACCCTCAGGCCCCACCCCAGACCTAGCCAGATCTAGATTAGTGCACACATTAAACTCTGAGAAGCCTGGTTTACAAGGTATTTTGCTTCTGCTAGCCAGGGCTGGTTTCCTGCATTATTTTTATTTTATTTTTTGAAAGATTCATTTACTTATGCGTACAAGGGCTGGGGTACAGACCAGAAGTGTGGGGGGTGAGCGGATTCACCAGTGAGAGTGGGGAGCAGAACAGGTCGATTGACTGAAGTACACTACTAGGGAGCAGCAGGCGGGACAGGAGAGGTCTGTTGCTGCCATGTGGATCAGCTCACTGGCTGGAATCTAACTCATGCTGGCTTCTGTGGCTGCATATAGCTTCATAGTGCTGAGACTTAAACCCCTTGAGCCAGCAGGGAGGGCCTCCCAACATTATTTGAATAGTTAATTACATGGTGATCTGTTGATGCTCCCATAAACTGTAGGACAGCTGCACCACTCCATTGCGAAAGAGTTAAGCTATTTTGAGAGAAAGGCAAATAAATGGCTTAGGTTTACGTGATGTGTGGATAGAAACCAATGGGATAATTTTCAGTGTCCAGACTTTGTCTCTAGTTATGCACTGCTCACCTTTGAGTTAAGTCTCAATGAACAAAAAATCAATACAATTAATACTTTAATTAATTCTTCAGTTGCATTGGTAAAGGTGGTCTTGGAATTGGGGAGTGCAAGTGGAACATTTTCATCACCATACAGCATTCTATGAAACAAGTTGGTCTGGGTAAATGCATCATGTCATGGCCATAAATGCACCTGCCAGTTGACCAGATGTAGGTGAGCATGGAGGGCGCTGGCAGGCTAGGAGGAGGCAGCCTGGGCTCCAGTCAGGGGCCTCAAGGCTTGGGAGGCTGTGTGACACTGAGCTTCTCTGAGCCACCTTTTTACCATTGGTGAAATGGAATGTTTAGAATTATCCTGTTTATCCAGCTGAGATGTGAGACTGCAATGAAATTATAAAGATGAATTCACGATTGAACAGGGTTTTTGCAGTTCTTCAACACACTTTCTGTGCTAAGCAAGACACTCCCTAAATGTTTGCTGATTCATTCCAAGGGATGGCCCACCAGCTGGGGAGCAGAGGACAGAGACAATGCCCTTTCCTGGTTAAGGTTTTCTTAACATCTAACATCCAACAAATGCCAGGCAAAGTAATAGTAGACTTTTCTGTTCTCATAGACCATGTGTCACATAATCCTGGGAATCTTCTTACTGTCTCCATTTGGCAGATGAAGAGGCTGAGGGCCAGAGAGGTCCAAAAGCTACTAACAGGGCCCATGGATGGGCACCCATCCTGCCAGAGGTGTGGTCAGGGCTGTGTTCTGTGGGTGCTGATTCTCATGCTCTCAAAGGAAGGAGGGGACAGTAGGTGCAAATCTACCATCCTCTGCATTCTCCAGCAGTGGGTTGGGGAGGGCTTCTGGGGAATAAACTCTACCAGAGGTTCTCAGACCCTGCTACATGTTAGAACTGCCTGGGAAACATTAAAAAAGAAAAAGCACCTGGTCCTCCCTGGTGGTGCAGTAGGTTAAAGCACAGCACTAAGAAGCTAAAGCCATTTCTGCATGAGTTTGATGCCTGCCCTGGAGGTGACCCACATGGCATGGCAGACCTCTCCTGACCCGCCCGCTGCACCCCTCAGCAGTGTACTTCATCAGTCTGCCTATTCTGCTCCCCACTCTGTCTCTGTGAATCCTCTCACTGCCCCTGCACCTCTGGCCTATACCCCAGTTCTGTATGTATAAATAAATCTTAAAAAGAAAAGGAAAGAAAAGAAAAAGCACCTATGCCCAGATTATGTGCATACCTATTCAGTTACATTGGGGGTAGGGGGTGGGAGCCAGGGAGCATTGTTCTTAAGGCTCCCCAGGTAGCCTGCAGCGAGTTTGGGAGTCATTGTGTGATACGCCTCCTTCGCCTTCAGCCAGCATCTCTGCCCTGTGGGCTCTGAGATGTTGACCTTAAGAGTAAGGTGAGCAAAATAGTCTGCAGATGAGCACATCTCAAATTTGAGCATACATCAGAACAACCTAGAGAGGGCTTTTTAAAAAGATTTATTTTTATTTAGTTGTGCATACAAATACAGGCCAGAGGTGTGGGGATGGAGGATTCACAAGAGTCGGGGTTGGGGAGCAGAGTAGACAAATCAACTGAAACACACTGCTGAGGGTGAGACAGGAGAGGTCTGCTGGGCCATGTGGGTCTCCTCCCTGGCCAGGGATCAAACTGATGCTGCAATAGTGTTAGGACTGTGCCACCAGGGAGGCCCCAAAGAGCCTTTTTAAACTATAAATTCTTGGATCCATCTCCAGAGACCTCTGGAGCCTATCGGGGGCCACTCTTTCCTACAAGGGCTGTAGGAAAACTCTGCTGGTGGGGGCATTTCTGATCCTGGTGCCCCGACTGATGGGCTCAGCATAAACCACATTGGAGTAAACTGATTTGAAACGATGAATGCTAATTCAGTTCATACAGCGGTCCTTCCACTTAGAAGAGTATTTTTTATCTCTTCAGATAACAGTGGGAACTGCAAGCTCATACCAGGATATCTGGCATAAGTAAGTGATAAATAGGAAAATGTCAAAATGTGTTTCTATCATTGTGAAGGGAAAAATCAGGGAGGGCTTGCTGGGGTTGCACCGGAGAGGTGGCACATGGCACTTTTCCTTCTCTGTCAGCGATTGTCCGCGGTGCTGATGGCTCCAGCATTCCCCTGTGTCACTCAAGTCAATAGTAGCAGCATAAATATGACCAGGAACATATCACAGGAAGCAGTGTCTAAGGTCGGTGTGAATATGGGCCTGAATGTAATTAGACCAGTGTCAAATCAAAGCATGAAGCCAATGAGTTGAATTTTCAGCAACTGAACATCCATCATTCAGATATGGTCCTGTGTGACTGTTTGAGTCAGTGGTTTTCAACTACAGTGACAGTGAAATCAGTGTTCGTGGGGAAGGTGCCCCATGTGGGGAGACCCCTCAGTCCCGCACAAGGCTGGATGGCTTGTTATCTTGTTTTCAGCTATGTGGATGCTGGAGGTGCCTGGAGAACTGGAGACCTCGCCATGCTCCACAGAGTCTGGTCTTGAGCATGGGTTTTTAAAACTCCCAAGTGATTTGAATGTGAAGACAAATCTAAGAACCACTAGTCTAAATAACAGATGTCCTTTCTTCCACTCACCATCATGTTTACGTATGCATTCAGAGGTGCTGATTTCATGCTCTCTCAGATGTAGGCAATATGCCAGTAATAGGACCAAGGGGTGAGTCAGGACCCTTGATCCTAAAAGCTGACATTCTGTAAGAGGCACGTCACAGTTGCCATTTCATACAATAATTCCTTTATCTGCCCAACAGATATTTATTAAATGCCTTCTGTGCCAGGGACTGTTTTGGCACTGAGCATCCAGTGGTGAACCAGATAGCTTATATCACTCTTACAGAGCCTACACTCTCTTAGTGAAGGAGCGACTGCAGAAAATGAATAAATAAACTAATAAATAGCATGCTTCCAGACAGTGTGAGTGGTGTGTAGGCGCAGTGCTGTTCCCTGGATGTGTGGGATCTGTGTCTGTATAAATTATTTGAGTCACCCCAAATCAATCACCCCAAATGTGGCAGCTGTGTCTACTCAATCTTGTCTGATCCCATGACAGGAACAGTGTGCCAGCTGCAGTGATTTGATGGCCAGGCTTCCCCAACCAGGGCTGGATGGGGGGACTGTTACATCATCCCACAGGCACTGGCAGGGGGCTCTTTGGGGCAATTTATTTACAAATAGAACACAGCTATTGAATCTAAGGTATCTATTGGCACTCAAAAGAAGTTGTGGAATATGCAGTTAGAAAAGAGGAAGAGAGGAAAGGTGGGGCTGGAACTGAATCTAGAGGTTACTCATGGAGATGGGACATTTTATGCTGTGGCACTTTGTCAGTTTAGCAGCAGGTGGAGTGAGGACATAAGAGGGTCTGAGAGAGGAAACAGGAGTGGTCAAAAAGGCAAATGACTCGGGACCTTTGATCAAGTAAAGATAAAAATAAGCCTAATTACTATCAGACACTGAGAGCCAGTGACATCCTAGACATTTTACATGCATTCCCTTATTTAATGTTCCCAGAAATCCTGCACAGTAAACCTCTTTATCTTTATCCTTTATCCATTAAAGTTAAAGATCAAAAATAGAGCTTAAGAGAGGGAGAGTAACTTGTAGGACCTAGCTTTAAACTGAGACCTTCTCTCAAAGTGAAAAAGAGTTTCAGGAGATGTAGATCAAGTCAACGCTGTCAAAGTTGCTGATGGTTCAGGAAGACGATCATTGAGATTAGAGGACGGTTTGGGGTCTCCGGAAGTACAGGAAGCTGTTTGAGTAAATTGGATGAAGCAGGCTCTAGAATGCAGGATTTGCAGATTGTGAGTAGGTAGATAAGCAACTAGAGGGAGGTTGAGAAGTGATGATGGAAGGCAGATTTTGGTGGTGAAGAGGATAAAAATGGAACATGGTGGAGGATTATTGTGTCACTGATGGTGTATGTTTGAGAGGTTTA